GCACAGATGGGGTCTCATTCTTGCTCAGGCTTGTCTCAAACTTCTGAGCTCAAGCAATCCACCCTCTCGGCCTCCCAGAGTGCTAAGATTACAGGCATGAACCCCTGCCCCTGGCCAGAACAAATCCTTTTCTAAAGGGATTTGGTTGAGGGGTGCACTTGGGGATCTTGAAGCCACACCTGACCTTGAGGCTGCAAATTCCCCACCCTGGAGAGATCCTCTCTGAAGGGCTCTCCCTGAACGTGGAAGTTGGGGCCCTGGGATGGTGAGCCTTGGCCTGAGGAAACCTGAGTGGACACATTCCATGAGTGGGTAGCTGTCGTAAGCAGGGTGGTGGGCACACCCATTTGGAATTTGGCAGCATGAAGGAAGGGGACCTTGCCAACCTTCTGGAGCACCCACTGAATTACAGACAACACTCACGGTTTCTGTTAATTAACTCCTAATCAGCCTCACTGTAAGGCAGGTGTGTTTGCAATGTGTGTGTGTGTGGGAGGAACTTTATCTGGCTCAGAGTTCTGGATCTTCCTGGGTACAAAGCAAATGCAACATAATGTGGTTGATCATGAAACTCTTCCCTCTGTGGGGGTGGTGACTGAGTTTCAGGAGCTGGGTCCAGTCTGTAAGCACTTCTGTTTGCTCTGCAGCGGGCACTCTGAGGTAGGCAACCTCAGCCATGCTAAGGTGAGTGGCAGGCAGTGGCCAGTCTGTGCAAGGGCTCAGAGTGACCCAAACAATGGTAATTTCATTGTGAGAATCCTGGGGAGTGTGTGGGTGGAGGGTCCCCACGAGGTCCTCACAGTCCTAGGAGTGCCTTTGAACCATGTAGAAAGTGACATGAACACACAACTGTGACATTTTTAGAAAGATGGTGGTATGGCTGAGTTGTGTCCCCACAAAATTCAGATGTTCTAATTCCTCCCCCTCCCCCATACCTTAGAATGTGACTATATTTGGAGACAGGGTCTTTAATAGAGTAAGGTGAAATGAAATCACTAGGAGGGCCCTCATCCAACATGACTGGGGTCCTTACAAGAAGATTAGGGCACAGACAACACAGGAAAGTCCTTGAGGAGGCAGTGAGAGGGTGCCATCTGCACGCCCAGGAGAGAGGCCTCCCAAGAGGTCCCACCTTGATGTGGGACTTCCAACTTCCAGAAGTGTTTGGAAATAAATCCCTGTTGTTTAAGCCACCCAGTCTATGGTACTTGGTTAGGGAAGCCCCAGTAAACTAACGTAGATTTTATAATCAGCAAGAAAAGTGTTGAAAATGGGGTTTTGTAAGGTTTTCTGAAGAAAATGAGCTACCTGAGGGAGCTATGGGATGGGCTTACTGAAGACTGATAGCTTTGCCTGCCAGAAAAGCTTATGATGACTCTTCTTTTAAAGAGAAGGAGGGAGGAAAGGGAGAGATTTGCTGGGGCAGTTAGAGAAGAAAGTTTTCAGTTGCAAGAACCCTGGTGGCTTCCAGTCTGGGGATTCCAGAGGAGGTGGCCTGTTTTCTAGAGTTCTAGGGGACCATGGTTTGATTTGGGCAGCATCATCTGTAAACAACCTTCGGGCGCTTGCTGAAGCTTACCACCAAAATAGTGCAAGGGGGCAGATCTGGGACAGTGAGCTGTGGTGGGGCTGGCTGGGGTAGGGTAGCATTTCAGTCTGAGTTTTTCTTAGGGTTGCTAACACTCTCTCCAGGTGCCTCTTGGAGTCAGAAGAGTCCCCTGACGCTAGTGCCCTGCACAAATCCAGTGGGCACCAATCACAGAGGCCATAAGCACATGATGAGGACAGGGGCCCCAGTGTTGGGTCTGAGGACTCTGTGGAGAAGCCAGTGCCTCAGGGTTGCTAGCCTGAGATAGTGACAGGCCTCTGAGGCCTAACTCCCTGCCCTAGCTGGCCCAAAGCATTGGAAATGCTGGAGCCAGAGGCGGCAGCTGTGGGAATCAGCCACAGGCTTGATGAGTGAGAGGCAGAGCCTCCCCCACAGGCCTTGGTTTTGAAGGGGGCTTCTCCTCACTGTGTGCTTTAAAGGATCTTCCCTGACCTCCCCGAGAAACACTGCTCTTCTCTCTTTACTCTGATCCTACAAATACCCACACTTTGAATGATGTAAGTCTTTTCAGTGGGCTACTTTTGAGAAATTATGATTGGTGAATAACAAAAAGTTTATTTTTAAACAATTAGGCACGTGGTAAAAAGGTAGAGTAAAAATAGCTCTAGAAATTTTTATGTAAAGCATCAACTTTGAGGTCCATTTATAAATGAGTTCTCTTTTGAGAATTTGAATATGTGTCATTCCATTTTAGTAGTTTTGTGGATGATGGTGTCTCCCTGAAATCTTTAAGACAAAAGTTGATCCTCTGTTCACTGCAGGATATTGACATTGTATTATAAACTTTAAATAGCTGTTAAATCTTCTTGAAGCTTCAGCATCTCACGAATAGGCTGAGTGCTCAGCCCAGATGACCAGGTGCACCAGTGTGATAAAGCTGGTTCCTTCCTTGCCATCGCATGTGATCTGGTGACACCCAAACATGACAGTGAGGTCCCCTCTCCCCGTCTGCTGAGTTCCTCCCAAGCAGCCCCTGCATGGCCTATCATGTGTCCCTGTCTGGGGCCTGTGAGTACAATAAATCCTTCAAGTTCATATGGTTTCTGTGGCTATATTGGAATAAGACGTACTCCCCATTTATGACACAGACTTTGGCTAAAGTATTAATATTGGGTTTTTAACCACTGTCACCTCTTCTGATTACTTCCTGCAAATTAGTTGCAGAAGAAAACTTCCACAAGGATGACCAAGAGCATCAGGCACTGGTGCCTCCCACCAGTCCAGGAAGACAGGGAACACGGAAGTGGCCTTTGGACCAGAAGTGTTTGAATACGACCAGAGTGATTGTCTCTGGGGCTCCTAGGACCTGAGAATATTTTAGAGCCTAGGGCATAAGGTAGGTACAGTTGGCTCCAGGACATGGGTTTGAACTGTGTGGGTCCGTTTCTAGGAGGATTTTCATCTGTCTTTGCTGCCCGAGACTACAAGACCCACCTCTCCTCTTCCTTTTCAGCCATTCAGTGTGAAGACACAGATGAAGCCCTTCATGACAACCCACGTCCACTTAATGAACAGTAAATATATTTTTTCTTCCTTATATCTTTTTTTTTTTTTTGAGACAGAGTCTCAAGCTGTTGCCCTGGGTAGAGTGCCATGGCATTATAGCTCACAGCAACCTCCAACTCTTAGGCTCAAGCGATCTTCTTGCCTCACTTTTTCTATTTTCACTAGAGACTGGGTCTCACTTTTTGCTCAGGCTGGTCTTGAACCTGTGAGCTCAAGCTATCCACCTGCCTCAGCCTCCCAGAGTGCTGGGATTATAGGTGTGAGCCACTGTGCGTGATCCCTTATGGATTTTCTTAATAACATTTTCTTTTCTGTAGCTCACTTTGTGGAAAGAATACAACATATAATAAATATAACTTCCAAAATATGTGTCATCGGCTGTGTATGTCAAGGCTTCCCATAACCAGTGGGCTATCAGTATACTAGTCATCATTTGGGGGGAGTCAAAAGTTTCCTGACTACACAGCAGGGGGCAGTCAGTGCACCAATCCTCTTATTGTCCAAGGGTCAGTTGTACTTTAAAACTTAAATCTCATGTTAATCAAGAAAAACTATTTCTTACTCGGGGAAGGGGGACTGAAGACCCCATTCTTGGCAAAGAAAAGCACCCCCAGAAGAAAGGGAAAACTAAAAAGTAAGCTGAGTGACTTGGAACAAAGAAAAGTCAGCTAGTTTATGTTTAAGCTAGCCATTGCTAGCAAGCTTCTTGCCTTTCCTGAAATTCTAGCCTGTTGGAGATACAGACCTGCTGGGTCTGTGAGCACCTGAGGAGAATAATGGTCATAGACGGGGCTATGACAAGTCCTAGAAAAAGATACATAGGGCATTTCCTGCCCAGCAGGCAAAGCAGATACCCATTGTGGGGATTTCCATTTGCCTGGGGCAGGGACAAAGGGAGTGGCTCCAGCTCTTAAAGAACTTATATCCCTTATAGCAGAGAAAAATCCTCTGTGGTGGTGATGGGAGGAAAATGTCTCCCTCCCACCCATCCCTCAGAGATTAATGCTGGTGGCAATTTACTCCACAGAGAACTAGAGGAGCTTAACACCTCCCTAGAAATCTGTGTGTGTGACCTCAAGCAGGAGGCTATCCCAATACAAGGCTCAGATTTCGGATTAGTGAAGGCCACCCTTCAGAGTGGAGCAGTCTGGGCATTGCTGCAATCCCACAATGGGCAATGGAGCCCTGAGCTCCCACTTTTATTTCTGCTCTCTGTCTCTTGTCTTTCTTTACTGTCACTCCTAACTTTATGTTTCTCCAGTTGATCACTGCCAGCTTCCACAGCTCTCAGCGGATACTGCTCTTGGGGTTGGACTCCAACAATTGCTGGCTTGGCACCTATAGCTCAAGTAGCTAGGGCACCAGCCACATACACTGGAGCTGGCAGGTTCGAGCATGGCCTGGGCCTGCTTTTAAACGACAATGACAACTGCAACCAGATAGCCGGGCATTGTGGTGGGCACCTATAGTCCCAGCTACTCAGGAGGCTGAGGCAAGAGAATCGCTTAAGCCCAAGAGTTTGAGGTTGCTGTGAGCTGTGACACCACAGCACTCTACCTAGGGTGACATAGTGAGACTCTGTCTCAAAAAAAAAAAAAAAAGCCATTTCTAAATCCAAAACAGAAAAAAGCTTCCCGGCTGTTCCTCCTGCTGCAATAGTGCCATTGCTGTTGACTCAGTGCTAAGACCACTTAGATACTTGTGAGAAAAATAAAACGGGAGCAGACACAAGCTGCTGGGAACTGGGAAGGATAGGGCAGGGCCGGGAGTGGGCACATGGACCATCTGTCATGTGAGGACTGCAAGTGCCCCGTGGTTCAGGTCAATCCCCAAACCAGCCTGCCAACACAGGTGAGCACAGGAGTACAGACACAAATGCCACAGATGGTGCTCATCTTGGCTCCAGTTTAATTTCAGTCAGATATTAAACATTTATAAATTCTTTATACAACAAAACAAGAACATGCAAAGTTACAAATATAGAAAATATAAAGTACATGCATACTTCAAAGACCAGTTAATGGTGACCATCTGGATTCTTATATAAAACTATTCAGTGCACATTGTAAGCCTAAGGATCACGCAAAAGGGTTTTTCCCACATGTTAAGTATTTAGTACCTTACAAAAACAGTTAATGCATTAGATTTTTTCAGATGTTAACTATTCTAAACAAAAACTCCTAAGTTTGTCATGTGCAATATATATTTTATACATATATTTTTTACATAGAATACCCGCACAGTGCAAGCCAGTGCAATCTCAGAATCAAAATATGTATCTGCTGGGTGATGGTGTTAAACAATTCAGGGAATCATTTTACCTTACTTAAATAACATTAACAGAATTTCTTTTTCCACTTTGAACACATCATAATTCTATCACTCCAACCCAAGATATTTTTTAGATTGTCTCCCTATCCTTTGATTCAAAAGCCAATTACAGAAACTAAGGACTTCACTTATTCTGGTTTTTGACCATGATGTGTAGGAGACGGAAATGCAGAAAGGCAAGCACTTCCTTTCTCTGTACACCAATCATTTTCTTTATTTCACGATCCTCGATGATGACTGTGATTTTACAACTGCAGCTTTCCGCTATGTTAAAATCTCCTGGTTTCACCCACACAGCGTTTAAATCACTCTGGCTCAGGCAAATGAGCAAAGGGGATTTGCCTTCAGTGTCTAGAAGGTGATATGGTTTTCTGCTGCTTTAATTATCTATGGTTTATGCTACTAAAGAAAGGAATGCCGTGTGGAGGTGCTTTAAACCTCTCGAAAGAGAGGGTGTCTCCAAGGGCACCACTCCCAAATGTTGGATTTTTCAGTCCCAGAAGCCTGTCATGTATGTTTTAGCTATCACATGTCATGTTACTCATTCCCTACAAATGTGTCCTCTGGCCAGAGGGCTAAAGCTGCACCAGTATATGTGGTCTTGAGGCAACGACTCCCAAGTACTACAAAAGTCAAAACATGGCTGTAGTTCTCTGCAGACACAGAGCACGTGCTCCAGAGGGCTAAGCCTGCGCCTGTGAGTTAAGTTGTTCTAGTTCTGTTTCTTTTAAATGAGTATTATGTGACCTCTTTCTAAATTTGGCAGAAATGTTGTCCAGTTTTCTTAAAATGGATGAGATAATTTCTCTAAACTGCTATGAAATCACTGCTAAGATGGGGCATTAGTGTACTGAGCTCTAATCACTGAAAGAGCCAGAGGTATTCAGGCAAAGGTATTTGAGGAGTGTTTTGAGATTTATTTTATCCCAACCTGGTGCACCAGACCAAAAATAAGTCTAGATTAACCAATGGTTATTTGCTGTTATTTTCTTATCGGCCCAGCATTAGCAATGGCCCACAAAGGACTTCGATCAAAAGGGGGCTGGAATAAAGAGCGTCCCGGGTCCTCTCAACATTTTCCAGTGCTCATCAGTGCCAAGGGGATTTATTAGCCTAAGGGGGACAAAGAAGCAAGAATGAGACACCACCACTAAAAAGGCTGCAGGTGGATACCCCCTCCCTCAACCTGGAAAAGAAGATGAAGATGGTAACGACAGGAAGACCTTTCTCATCCCACAATCAGGAAGATGAGGAAGGAGATAAGGAGGATCACGGGTGGTGATGAGAAGAGGACCACGCTGGAGCCTCTCTGGTACGCAGCCTGGTACTCCCTCTGGTACTGGGTGACGCACATCTGCTCGACCATGCGCTCCATTATCTTCACGTCCGTCTCGGTGAAGTTCTCCCCTTTGGTGGTGGTGGTGACTGTGTGCTGCTTGATGGTGATGTTGACGCAGTCGTGCACAAAGTTGTTCTGGTTGCTATACTGATCCACCGGCCTGTAGTACACTTGGCTAGGGTAACGGTTCATGTTTTCACGATAGTAACGGTCCTCATAGTCATTGCCAAAGTGGATGAGGGGCCTGCTCATGGCGCTCCCCAGCATGTAGCCACCAAGGCCACCTACCACTGCCCCAGCTGCGGCCGCACCTGCCACGTGCTTCATGTTGGTCTTGGGCTTACTGGGCTTGTTCCAGTGGCCTCCTTGACCCCAGCTACCACCACCATGAGGCTGCTGTCCCCAGCTACCACCGTGGGGCTGTCCCCAGCTGCCACCATGGGGCTGCCCCCAGCTGCCACCGTGGGGCTGCCCCCAGCTGCCACCGTGAGGCTGGCCCCAGCCACCACCACCCTGGGGTGGGTAGCGGTTGCCTCCAGGGCTGCCCTGCCCCGGGTATCGGCTCCCCCCAGTGTTCCAGCCTCCAGGCTTCGGTCGCTTCTTACAGAGGCCAATGTCACTCCATGTGGCCACAAAGAGAACCAGCATCCAGCAGCCAAGTCTCGCCATTGTGACTGACCTGCAAAAGGAAGAGGAGAGGGTCAGTGCCCTGCCTTTACGTTGAAACCACTTGACGTTTGCTGTGTGATGAATGTGCACAGAGAGATGCCCGCAGCTCCTCAGTGAAGACCCTCTCCCCGCCCTGTGCCTCTGCTTGGCAGCACTGAGGACAAAGCAACTGTAAATAAAGGGTGAAAACAACTCCTTCTCCTTGTGTGAGAACATATGTGGCCGTAAGTTAATCATGTTTAGCTTTGTTTCCTGGAAATCTGATAAAGGTGGAATGCTGGCAATATCGTTATGGTAAAAACCACCTCTGATTGGTAAGCTACATCCAGACTGGGAGAACCATAAGCTACTGGTGGGTTTGCCATAGCTTTGAGCTTCTTTAGAGCAGAGATTCTTGTATGATCTCGTGAAGACCCTTGAACTTGTGCCCATCAAGCTATTATAGGGATATCAACTCCTGTGGGCTTCTACGCTAAAGAGAACCCTTTACTCACCACTATGGATCACATTCCCTTGCACCTGAGCAGTCACTTACCAAGGCTGGGGCTGAAGATAAATCCCTGAGGCCTAGTTGCTGTGGACCACTGTGAGGACCCTGAGGCCAAGTGCAGCCTATGGAGGGAGGTCTTGTGTCAGTCTAACGTCTAGTTAGGCCGAAGGCAGGTGGGTGTGGCAGCAGAGTGATTTAAACACTCTGCAAATAGCTGGCTCAACATCTTTCCTCTGTAGGAATAGCAGGAAATAAGTCTCTCTTGTTTGTGGTTACACCTGCAGGGGCTAGGGCAGTGTCTGGCACACAGCAGGGCACAATGGGTATTTGTTAAGTGAAGGAATTGATATCCCCTGAGCATACAAACACCATGAAGAATTTCCTCAAGGGAATTCTCAATACAATTCTACTAGAAACTAGAAATATCCAGGATTTTGAAAGCCCCTATTGTAAATTCATCTTTCTCTCTAGAGTCTAGACAGATAGGCGGGGCTGCTCAAAGTGGAGGAAATGGGCAGTGTTCACAAGCTACGAGGTTCCTTGCTCGCTGAGTTAAGTTTTAGTTCAACATTTAATGTTTTATGTGTGGTTTATTTTCTTCCAATTTTTGATGCAGAAGAATCACTTCCTATATAAAAAGGCTAGCACAGTTTAGATGACAGACAACCCAAATAGCCTGGATGACAGTGTATCCTCTTTCCCACAATGTATGTTCACATGAAAAATCTCCTTTCAGATGAATGACCTCATCCTGGGCACTCAGTTCCAAGGGCAGAGATCAAAGACACAGTAGAACGATTATTAAACAGTATTTAGGCCAGGTGTGGTGGCTCCTGGCTGTAATCCTAGTACTCTGGGAGGCCAAGGTGGATCTGAGCTCAGGAGTTTGAGACCAGCCTGAGCAAGAACAAGAGCCCATCTCTAAAAATAGCCAAGTGTTGTGGCTGGCACTTGTCCCATCTACCGGGGAGGCTGAGGCAAGAGCATCACTTGAGCCCAAGAGTTTGAGGTTGCTGTGAGCTATGATGCCACAGCACTCTACCGAGGGTGACAAAGTGAGATTCTGTCTCAAAACGCCCCCCAAACAGTATCTACTATACCCTATGTCAAATCATATGCTCCAAAATATCATGGTATAAAACCCAAGACGGCATACGCTCTAACAGTGAAGTCAGTCTTGTTCCCAGGACTGGCATAATCTAGAAATTTTTTAAAAATTAGAAAATTATGTTTCATATCCTACAGAGTTAACAACTAAATTGGATAATATCATCGAAAGGATTACTAAACAAGTAATTGAGTTAGCAGCCTGTTCATGCTTCCACTAACATTATTGCAGTCAGAAGCATATCCTGATGGTCATAAGCAAATCAAAACGTATCTGAAAGTTACAAACTGAGTTAAAGTACAGGCAGTCCCTGGGTTAGATAGGTTTTGTAGGTTTGTTCTTAAGCTAAATTTGTACATAAGCTGGAATAGGTACATTTCCCTGTTACCTGTAATAGTCTCCTGTTCATAGGTATGTGTTATATGTAAGCCAGATATTTGTAACTTGGGGACTGCCTGTACTCAGATCATGCCAAGTAGGATTTTGGAGGCTCTTTTGGTTGAGGATTTGAGGGGCAGGGACGTGCTGACTGGCTCCATTCTTGCTCCTACATTCCCTAGCCCCTGGTCTTTGCAGGCCTGCTCCCCTCACTTGTCCTGTGATCCCATGATCCTATGGAGCCCGGCTCTTGGCCTCCCTGCCACTCACACACCTTAGGGAAACAAACTAGGGGACTGCTCTGCAGTTAGCAACTCCTCATTTAAAGGGTTTTTGTGTCATCAACTTCTTCAACCCCATTGAATTATTCTTGAATTTTATTACCCGTGATATATATTGGATCCATCAGCAAATCTTAGCAGCTCCACCTTGGAAATAAATCTTAAACCTCTCAGCCCCTCACATTTTCAGATATGACCATCACTTGTCACCTGGCACAGTCTCCCAACCAGCCTCCCTGCTTCCCTCTGTCCCCATTGTGTGTTGTCCTTTTAATATGCAGATCACATCACGCCACCTCCTTGTCCCCACGTGGCACTCCTTTGTTCTATGGATAAAACTCCAAGTCCTGGCCATGCTGGCTGGGCCCCTGTGACCTGGTTTGGGCCTCTGCTGTGCCACAAACCTGGCAAGTGTGACCGTGTCGCTGGGCCCTTGCACTTGCTGTTCTCCAGGCTTCAAAGGCTCTTCTCCAGCTACCCACACTGCTCACATCTGCTCAAACGTCATCTCAAGGGACTTTTCACACTGCTCTACCTACAACAGCCCCCTGCCCTCCTTTCTTTCCCCTTGCCCTGCTTCATTTATTTTTCCTTGGAGAGGTTAGGGCTACTTGATAATACTAAGTTATTTATTGTATGCTTATTGTTCATTTTTTCCACTGGAGTGTGGGCTCCTCCAGAGCTGAGGTTTGGTTTTTTTGTAGAGACAGAGTCTCACTATGATGCCCAAGCATGTCCTGAACTCCTGTGTTCCTCAAGCGATTCTCATAACTTGGCCTTCCAACCTATTTTAACAGCTTAGTAAAATACACTGTGACCAATATGGATTATTTTAGGAATATAAGAATAGCTTAAAATCAGAAAAATCTATTGGTAGGATAAAGAGGAAAAATATTTTCTGCATGGTTAAGTTTTCAATTAAAATCAACATCCATTCCTGATTTTTAAAATTTTTATGCTACTTTAAAAGTTTCTGCAGAACTAGAAAGATGGTCTCATTCCATCATCAAGGACAAAGCCCCTACTCCATCATAATTTTAAGAGGAAAGGTGGTAAATGAGGCAGTAATACAACTTATTGCTGCTATTATTTTAGGTTGTTCTGGAAGTTCATCTAGATACAATATTCTATTTGAAAAATCCAGGACCATCAACCAAAAATGTCTTAGATGAACTTGGTGAACTCATTAGGGAGGCAGTTTTTGAAATAAACATTAAAAACCAGTGAGTCTCTAAATCAGTGTAATAAGTTAGAAGATGTAGTGGGCAAAAGCATTCCATTCACATGGCAATAAAAATTCAAAATATCTATAGGATTTATTTGAGGAAAGCTATCAAATTTTACTGAGTTATAAAAGCAGATTGGAAAAAGAAGATATATAACATTTTGACTAGGAAAACCAATAATAAAGAATACCAATTCACCAACAAATAATACATAAAGTCAATAAAATTTCAGTCACAACATAAAGGGAACTTAAAGGTCTTCTGTGACCATAATGGTATAAAACTAGAAATCAATTACGGAACTTCAGAAAATTCACAAACTAATAGAAATTAAACTACATGCTCCTGAACAATCAGTGGGTAAATTAAAATTTAAGAATTTCTTGGGACACACCTGGGCACAGTGGCTCACACCTGCGATCCGAGCATTCTGAGAGGCCAACTCACGAGGATTGGTTGAGGTCAGGAGTTCTAAACCAGCCTAAACAAATGGAAAAATTAGCTGGGCATGGGGGCACACGCCTGTAGTCCCAGCTAGTCAAGAATCTGAGGCAGGAGTACTGCTTGAATCTAGGAGTTTGAGGTTGCTGTGAGCTAGGCGGACAGACACCAGGGCACTCTGACCTGGTGAGACTATATCTCCAAAACAAAACAAGCAAAAAACCAAAACAACTTCCAGGGACAAATAAAAATGGAAACATACCACATACCCAAACCTATAGGATTCAGCAAAAGCAGTCCTAAGAGGGAAGTTTATAGTAATAAACATGTACATCAAAAAAGGAGAAAGATTTCAAACAACCCAGTGTTGTATCTTAGAAACCAGAAAAACAAGGACTAAGCCCAAAGTTAATAGAAGCAAGGAAATAATAAATATCAGAGCAGAAATAAATAAAATAGAGACAGACAAAGATAATAGAAAATATTAGCAAAATGACAGCTGGCTTTTTGAATGAACAAAATTGACAAAGCTTTAGCTAAACTAAGAAAAAAGAGAGAAGACTGAGAATCAGAAATGAAAAAGGATGCATTGCAGCTGATATCAAGGAAACACAAAAGATCCTAAGAAGCATAAGAGACTAATATAAACCATCACATGCCAACTAATTGGATAACCTGAAAGAAAATTCCCAGACACATACAACATATTAGGACTGAATTATGATGAACTAGAAAATCTGAGAGGAAAATAAGGAGTAAGGAGATTCAATTGGCAATAAAAAGCCTCCCATCACTGAAAAGCCCAGGACCTGATGGCTTCATGGCTGAAATCCACCAGACATTTAAAATAATACCAGATGTTTTCAAACTTTTCCAAACAGTTGAAGCAGAAGAAATATAGCCACGCTCATTTTCTGAGGCCAAGTTTTACCTTGATACATTACAAAACACTACAAGAAAATAAAACTACAGGCCAATATCACTAATGAATGTAGATGCAAGTATCCTTAACAAAATACTAGCAAACCAAATGCAGCACTTTAGTAAAATGTCAGACACCATGATCAAGTTGTATTTATCACTGGG